GGTTTAGGACACGATGGCCCTGAAAAGAAACACGTTTTGAAAGGGGGAGGAGCGACACCCTCTTTCAACAGTTTAAATTACAACGCATGCGCATTCGTGTTCATTCGGGACTTAACCTCTTGCACAACCTTGTCTTTTCTTCACTCTGCTTGCCTCTACTCTGAGTGTGGTCACATTCGCGTTTTAACTTAAAACCATTTTTCTTCAAATAAGGCCTAGGTAATGAGTGGGGACCATTCTCACAACGAGGGTCAGGTAATTAATCGTTTATTTCGCATTGTCGTCTCTTGAAATTACGGGGTGCCGGTGTCTATCTTTGTGCTTTGACAGGCAATGTAACTCGGCTAACCTTACTGGTAGCACAATAGCCGGCTATGTTCGTAAAAACACATTTTTTTAATACAGTCTTGGCATGCTTTGTCAAATATTTGAGGTGGCGTTCGGAAAGATAGTTATCCAGTTAGCGGATTGGTTTGTATTAATAAGCAAAGATAGATGAAGTTACGCTTTGTTAGCTCAAACCAGTGTTAGCTATAGCGGCTTCCCAGGCAGGCTAGTCCAGCTAGCAGGAGAAGCTAGTGTCGCTACACAGCAAGTTCAAAGTTGGGTAGCCGGCTAGTTAGCCTGGCTTGTACGGTATTTAACTATCATCTTTTTTATGTTTCCAGGTTGACTGTGGCTCCCGGATCAATGGTAAGTTTGTCTCACTTGGCTAACAAACGAATAACGATGTTTTCTGGATGTTTTTACCTGCCTTGACTGTAGTAATGTAACGTGTTAGTTTTCAGCTGAGAACAGAAATGGCGTCCAAAGACTAAGTCCTCTCTCTCTCTCACAAGCGACTATTGTTCAAAAGTAAAGCCCTGTTAAGGCATTTCCCTTTGTAACTTTTCTATTTTAAATTCATATTGGCACACAACTCGACGTGCTTTACCAGTCTGGTGTATTAGAAGTTGTTGTTACTGAGCTTTTGATGGCGCATTTTCTTGTTGAAAGTGAGGGTTTGGGGGTTGAGGACTTAGTCTCTGCGCCATTTTCTTTTTCGGTGTAGCGGCCTGACTGCTACAAGCTGGACCCAGGCTGTGAGGTTTAGTTTGCTGTGGTGAGGGTAAATGTAATTTTGTTCCCTAATTCTACCAAGATGTTTTTCTCTCTTTCTCGTATTTTCTACATTTGTATTCATTTATTTACATTCCCTCATGGTAGAAGAAAGTGAATAATTTTCACTCAGGTTCACATTTCATCAGTCAATACATTACTTGCCTCAGTAATTAAATTTTCGCAGCACTCTAAACATTGTAATGCTATAAGATTGTATGACCAAAGTTTCTATACAGCTAAAAGATTCGAGTCGTATGTATTGACACATTTTCTATGTAATTTCAATGTTTGAGAATGAAGAATTAAAGTTTGTAGAAAAACATTGTTTCCATACATTATTTCCGTTTCTGTTTTGGGATCATGGAAATTAGATTTTAAGTGGTAATGAGTGAAGATGGGGTTTGAGTAGGTTTCACTCCATATTTAGCTTTCTTTGTTGGTCCCCAAATTACGTCCAATGGTAACGATCATATGTTGGCCTGAAGCCTGATTTATACTTCTGTCTGCGTGGCTACGGAAACGTGCAACTCTTATGCATTGACACCAGGAATCTGCTACAGGCCTGCATCGGTTGACTGAGACATGCCCAGTTTTTATTTGGAAATAATCGATTAATGTTCGAATCGCAATTCTTATTTATAAAGATTGAATTGATTCATAAAGATTCTGAATCACTCCTGTCCAAGAGCCTTTATGTAAACTGCTGTATTTCTGAGCATTCCTGAACGCATCATCGGTGGGGTAGGCGCTAGCTGCGCTGCTCCTATGCAGCAGTCTGCGGTAATACGACAGACTTGAGCCTAATTTATTTCTCCGTGAGCTCCATGGCGGACAGACATGCACGGATGGAGAAAACTTGCCCTCATACTTCTCTGTCTCCTGGAGAGTGTTGCAAAACAATTTGCCTCCTGGACAACAGAGGGCGTAGCGCTGTTCTGTGGTATCCTGTCATGTATCCAATAGGGCTGCAACAACGAATCGATGAATTCGATGAAAATCGATTACTAAAAGCGTTGGCAACGAATTGCGTCATCGATTCGTTGTGTTGCGCAACTCTTCCAAAAGCCCCCTCCCCTCCCGCCCGCCGTTGCGCGCAGACCGGTGGAGAGCCGGCAGGTGTTTGTAAGAGGAACATGGCAGAAGCAGCGAGACCCCAAAAAAGTTAAAACTTCTAAAGTTTGGGAGCATTTTCAGTTAAATCAGGCGAAGACATGCAACGTTTGTAGGTCAGACTTAGCATGGCACGGGGGTGCTACGGTGATGATGCAGCGTCTTAAACGCAAGCATGTCAGAATCATCAGCGAGGAAGGAGAGAGCTCTGTGTCCGGGTAAGTTAAAAACTTTTCAAAAGTGATTCACCCAAGCCCCGGATTATTACACAGGCTAGACATGCCCTAAGCTCGTAAAAAAAAAGTCTATAAAATTGTAAGCGCGACGCTATTTGATAGTCGGGGGGGGGGGGGGGGGGGGGACGGACTCGCGAACCGGTTCCGCCGTCACATTCCCGCAGAAACTGGTTGATCACACCGGGGCCAGACTACTAACATGTGGTTTTACAACCACAATGTCCTCAGAAGCAAAAACGCTTTTAAAAGGGAGGGAGGAGTCCTAACTGCTGCTGCAGGCGTGTTGTGTGAGAGTGCAGTTATATACTGGTTAATATATTTTTGGGTTCAGTTGCTTTCATGTGGCCTAATGTGAGTCTATTTGGGATCATTGGAATGATCAGCAGCATTTCTTGATGTGACTTTATGGCAGTTGCCCAGGGCATCATCGCAAGGAGGATGGCATTCATTTACTTTTGTTTTATTTGGTATCTTTTCAGTCATTTTTGGAAATAGTGATTAATTTTGATTAATTCACAGCCTATGTTTAATTACATTTAAAAATTAGTTGTTTGACATCCCCAATTATAATAAATGTCTACAGATGAGATCAAACAAAACAGATGAGAATTGCCCTTAAAGAGCAAGTCACCCCCAAATAAACTTTTTTTTTGCTGATAAACTAAATAAACGAGTGTCTAATCGTGCTGCAGACACGTGTCGTCAATAATTTGGCACTTCAGTGCATCTTAGTTAAAATTTAAATATTCTGCCTAAAACTGGCAGTGTTGTGCCGTTGTCAGGTAAAAACTCTGCACTGTATTTTAATTTAAATCTGCCACCGCTATTGGCTAAGAAGTATGCTATGATGTAAACTGGTACATTATGATGTCACAATGCTGTCGTGAGCCTGAGTGTGTGTGTATTTGTTAGCGGCTCCGCCCTCTCGGTCTGCCAGGCAACAGCATGTGTTGCATTTTTCAAACATGAAGCGGGAGTGGAGTTAGACTCTGGTAGGGGTTGACTTGCTCTTTAAGCTGTTTAACTTGGACCAAGCATTTTAGGTCACAGATAGATGTAGCTTAGGGTCTCTGTCTATACGCCTTATAAGACAATTTAGGTGATGGCATGTTGTTTTTCTGCTATTGAACTGTTTTCTAATAATGTTGTGTTTAATAAAGTGAAGGAAGGAGAAAAATAACGTTTCCCTGGCAGTTTTTAAAAATGTCCCCATGTAATCCGATTAATCGATTAATCGTGCCGAGACCCCATCCGATTAATCGATTATCCAAATAATCGTTTGTTGCAGCCCTAGTATCCAAGATGGTGTCTTTATATTGTGTTTTTTTGTATTCGAGACTTTTTAACAGACAAATTTGTCCCTCATTCTCCTCCACCTCTTCACGCCCGTGCCACCTCTAAACTCACGTTTCTTGTCGTTTCCGCCCACGAATAAAATGCTTGCTGCTTATCTTAACTCCTCCAGTCACAGGTGAACCAAACTTTTTCGTGAGGGGTTCTTCAAGCTTCTCCGTGTCTGCAGCTAGATGACCTCGGCTCTCTGTTTTTGAGGGCGCAATGGCGGCACTGTAGACGACTGCTGTGTCCTGACCAATCACAATCTTGCGTGCTCAGTCTCGACTTACGGATGTTTAAGAAAGAGAGCTAGACTCTGTCCATGTGAGGGTTCTCCAGCAGGCTCACAAGGATGCATAATGGCGTCACGCGCGTCTGTCCCGACGCAGACGGAGAAGTGTAATGGGCTCGACACACGGGAGGCGACATCGCCTCTCCTCCATTCATTTTCAATGAGACAAAGCGATAATCGCGGGTCTCTCTCCTACTAAGCGAAACGCGAGAAACGTGCGTGTGAAAGTTTGCACTCGTGCACATGTCGTGCACGGACGACCCAGCGACGCGATCCCAGAAAGTTGAAACATTTTCAACTTTTCATCGCTGTCGCTCGGACGAGGACCAATCAACGGAGGTTTCATTCACTGACCAATGAGCGGACAGGATGCTCCGTACATCTCCGAGCAAACATGGAGGAGAAGTTGATTATTATGTTTTAAATAGTAAAATCAGAAGTAAGATTTCACATAACTCTAGCAGCACCTTGTGAAACATCATATCTACCACTTTATTGACTCTGAACCGCATAAATAACCTTAATTCCCTCCAACCTGACACAGCCAAACAAAACAACGGAATTTTCGATTTCGCCATGGAACAGAACGCGGAGATGGCTTTGCCGCTGCCGCGGATCGCCTCCCGTGTGTCAGGTAATAAAAGCGACAGCGACAAATTTCGCTGATCGCGGTCGTTTGTCGCCTCCCGTGTGTCGAGCCCATAAATTAGGCTTTAGCTTTCCAGTTATCCTGTGGGCTTTCTACGAGTCAAGAAATAGTTCCATCATGTTTCATAATGTTTAAAGGGTGTTATCCTCTTTAGTGTGGTGTGTGTGTGTGTGTGTGTGTGTGTGTGTGTTTCATGCTGCCTGCACCGTGCATAATTGATGCTTGTTGGGACTAATTAGTCCCTGTTAGTCTTCCTGTTAAATGTTACTGGTTTATGTGAATACATGCTGCTGGATGTTATATAACAATATTATTAATTTCAGGTGTTTCACATATACAGTTTTTTTTTCTTTTTCCCCCTTCAGACCACATACCCACAATGTAGTCTACACTAATTGACACTTTGTTACTAAGAATATTGTTTGTGAATCAGTTTGAATAGATAATTGATTCTGAATCAAATTTGTCACCCCAGAATAGGAATTGTATTGAATCATGAGTTGTAAGATTTATATCGTGGACTCGAGACGTGTCTGCAGTGGTGGCATGATACCCCCAGAAAAACACTACGCCCTCTGTTGTCCTGGCAGGGAACTGCTTTACAACACTCCCCTGGCAACGGAGAAGAAAGGCTAACGTCTTCGTCCGTGCAAGTGTGTGACTGAAGCTGAGATGATGAAGTATAAACCAGACTTAACTCAGTTGTGTCTTTAGTTTACATTAAACTAATGTCAAATGTGAATATTGATAAGTGATTGATGACCTGCACTTGTGTAGCGCCTTTCAGAGTCAGAGGACTCCAAAGCGCTTTACACTACAGGGTATGATTCATCCATTCACACGCTGATGGTGTTGAGGTATGATGTAGCCGTGTTGAGTTTTAAACATTGTGACCTTTAAAATTATGTTGTCAATTTTTATAGGACTTGAGTTATTTCCCTTTATCGTTTTAGCCTAAGAGTTTTAAGAACCGGTCTTTATGAAGGCAAACAATTAAAAGTTATTAAGACATGTTCACTTTCATGTTCCAGCTTGATTTTTGTGACTAAAGGCAGATCCTCAGACAGACACTAGGAGGTGCTGTGCTGCTGGTTGGGGAAGAGTTAGGGCTCCGGTGCTGAACTCATGGTGCACACGTATAGATTTGCATATGTAATGATGGACAATGAAGACAACAATATTCCAGTTAAACAAAAGAGGGCTGTCTTCAGTGTGTGATTACACAGCTGCAGCCTCTCACACCCTTCAGCATGTGTGGATGCTTGGCAGATGGCCTACAGTGCCAGGAATATTGTGGTTTTTAATTAACCTGGCTTGTTCGCACCAACCTGCAAATGTGTTTGATTTTCTTCTAAAAATGTAAGTTTTTAGACCTGATTCAACATATTTAGTTATCATCGTTGATGCCGTTTGTATTTCTCAGGACATGAAACGGACCATAAATTTTGTATTGGACTTGAAAATGTGACTTTGTTTCTTGTAGATTCTCACAAGCATAAAGACAAATACAAAGAACACAAACACAAGAAGGATAAGGAACGGGAGAAATCCAAGCATGGCAACGGGTACTTGATTTAACTGTTTTACTGCTGGATGTAAAGATGAGCTCAAACTAACGTATTATTCTCACAAACTTTAGCGACTTCTCGGATAAAAAACACAAGGACAAGATGAAGCACAAAGATGGCAGCACAGACAAGCACAAAGAAAAAAGAAAAGAAGAAAAGGTACATATACAACATTCATCCTTTAGACTTGAGCTAAACTGGTTTTGTTTAATATTTCTGTTCGAATGAAGCTTTAGGTTGTTCTAAGTTAGCCTTGTTGCTATAAATCTCAGTTGTAAAATACTCAGTTTGGTGTTTTATTTCAGATGAAGCCCCTGGATGGAAAAGTCAAAAAAGAAAATGGCTTTGCCAGGTTTGTTAGGTCTCCTTTTCAGTATCTTGTTAGCAATGTGATGAGTGGTATCATTTTTATTTATTTATCTTTTTGTAATTTCAGCCTACCGCATGTGAAGTCTGAGCCGGAGGATGACGCGTACCACTCCCCTAAAAATAACAAGCCTCTGAAAAGAGAGCGGGATAATGATTTTGAGTAAGTGTTTGATTTGGTGGAGGCTCAGTTCTTTCCTTTAGGGACCAAAGTTTGGGTCACCTCTGATGCACTGTGCTTGTTTCAGCTCTGATTTTAAACCCAAGAAGATTAAGACTGAAAATGACAAAAAAGCCAAAAAAAGGAAACAGGAAGAGGAGGTAAGAAAGGTCTCAAGCAGAGCAAGGAGGGTAGTATTATTATTCTCCATCTTGAGAGTACTTTCTCTTCCTTATTTTAGGACATTAAGCCCCAAAAAACAAAAAGTAAAAAAGGGGAAGTGGCTGATGGGAAAAAGAAGCCTAAACAAGAACCAGAGGAGAAGTGGAAGTGGTGAGTTAATGGCTACTAGCGGCACCAAATCTTCTGGTGTAGGGAAACGTGGATGAGTTTTTGTTCAAATGCCTGAACCACATTACCTGACCACAGGTGGGAGGAGGAGAGGTACACAGATGGTGTCAAATGGAAATTTCTGGAACACAAAGGACCGGTGTTTGCTCCACCCTATGAGCCCCTTCCTAGCAAAGTCAAGTTTTATTATGATGGTAAGATTATAATCCACAGAAGTTTTGATCTTGAATTGTTCCAGTGCTCACAGGTTTGAGATGCTGCTGCTTTTCCATTTGTCAGGTAAACCCATGAAGCTCAGCCCTGAAGCAGAAGAGGTGGCCACCTTCTTCGCCAAAATGCTGGACCATGAGTACACCACGAAGGACGTCTTCCGTAAAAATTTCTTTAAAGACTGGAGGAAGGTACAGAAACAGTTCGCTTGGCTAGCTTGTTTTTCACTTTTGAGATGTCCTTCATTCTGTGTCTGAAGATGGGCCTTGTTTCTGCTAATGCAGGAAATGACATCAGAAGAAAAGTCAAAGATCACAGACCTGAAGAAGTGTGACTTCACTGAGATGAGCGAGTACTTCAAAGCACAGTCTGAGGCTAGAAAAGCCATGACAAAAGAAGAGAAACTGGTAAGCTGACATGCCTGAATTTAGGTAGGAATGCCTCTGGACTGAGACTCATTTAATGCTTTTAAAGTGTCAGTAGCTCCATTTAAGGCTTTATGCTTGATCCAAATCTGGTCTCTCAGAGCTGAGACAACACACCTGCTCCACGTGTCTCTGGCCTTTCTGCTTTTGTTTATGTTGAGTCATTTTGCCCAAGTTTGGTTTTACATTTGGGTATTCTTTGGCCTCAGTTTGGAGGTATTTTTAGTAATTGTTGGGATTGTTCTTAAACGATTTTAGGACGAGGTGTCCATGGGTCTGTGATTTCAGTTCAATCAACAATTTTCTTCAAGTCAAGGTTGAACACATTTTTCACAATATAGTATGAAATATAATAGGGATGTAAGAAAATGTTGATTATGGCAATATATCGTGATATTTTCCCCAGCGATATTATATCGATATTCAAAAGCGGTGTATCGAAAATATCGATATCGCAATATATCGTGATTTTTTTTCTTGCACAAATGCATCGATATTCAAAAGTCGTGTATCTAATTTTTGGAAGAATTTACATGGAAACATTTGTGTATTTTCTTTTCTTATGGTGTAATTCAAACGCCGACCACTAGTTGGCAGCAGTGTGTAATGGGTTTTGTTTCTACCATTGAAACGTAAATCCCTCTGTTATGGTTAAACATGTTAAGTATCAGTTTGGATTGTTTATTGAATTTTCCTATAATAAATTTACACTAAAAAAACGCCAATATCGTCTGACTGGATGTATCGCAATATATCGTGATACATTGTATCATCTCCCCTGTATCGTAATACGTATTGTATCGCCAGAATTTCATCAATACACATCCCTAAAATATAATCATACCATCAACTCATTCACTGCCAGTGTTTTTTTTTTAAGAGTCCCACAACGTTGCACTGGTGTCAACACCAAAACTACCTAAACAAAGAGCAGCCTCGCTTCTGACATCAGGAACATGCTTGTTTAAGTTAACCGTGTGCCAAGTTGCACATTCGTCTGCCTAGTATTATTACGGTAAATCCCATTCTACTGCGTCGGAACTGGGCTCTGTCCCTCACTCACTCACTCACCACGCTGAGAGACGGGATTGACGGCAGAGACGGATGTCCACGGCCGTTATCAGCCCTAGTAGAGCTATGTGAGGAAAAATAACTAGAACGTACAGTTCTGTCTGTAATGGTACACCGCCCTCCTCCCGCACTCACCGCTACTGCGTTTGCACAGTAAAGTCCCAATGTTTACGAACCGCAGCTTTGATGGTCACGTGATCGCGTTCTTTATAATCGCTATTTCATTCTGAAAACCATAATCATCCAGCCCTAAACCAGAGCATAAAGGTTTAGGTCTGCAGATGCAGGCTGTGGCGGATGCAGATGTTGTGGGAGTGTTTTTTTAAAAATGTCATCTTTGTGAATGCCTTTGTTCAAAGCAAGTTAAACATGGTCTCTCTCTATAGAAAATAAAGGAAGAAAATGAGCGCATTCTGCAACAGTACGGCTTTTGCATCATGGACAACCACAAAGAGCGTATTGCTAACTTCCGTATTGAGCCTCCTGGTCTGTTTCGTGGTCGAGGAGACCATCCAAAAATGGGAATGCTCAAACGACGCATCAGGCCTAAAGATATCATCATCAACTGCAGCAAGTGAGTCGAGGTTTTCTTTTCTCCTCTAGCTTGTGCTGTTGTGTGAGCTGTAACGTAAACTCTCACATTTTGCATTTGTTTAGGGACTCCAAGTACCCTGAGCCACCATCAGGAACCAAATGGAAAGAAATTCGCCATGACAACAAAGTGACGTGGCTGGTTTCATGGACTGAGAACATCCAAGGCTCCATCAAGTACATTATGCTGAACCCCAGCTCCAGAATCAAGGTAGGTTCAGTGTTTTAATATTGAGACACGTCTGTAGTTGGCCAAGGTCGCTGAGAAACAGTTTGTTTATTTAAATATGAACGGTCACGCTGACTTTAAGGCTGAATGTGAAAATGGCCTCCTACCCCCATCTCCTGCGTTAGTCTTGGTCTTTTCATTTGGTCTATTTTTCTCCAGGGGGAGAAGGATTGGCAAAAGTATGAAACGGCTCGTCAGCTGAAAAAGTGTGTGGATCGCATCAGAGCGCAGTATCGCGAGGACTGGAAGTCCAAGGAGATGAAGATCAGACAGAGAGCTGTGGCGCTCTATTTTATTGACAAGGTGAATATTAGTAATCTGTTCTAAGGCTGCGTGTGAAGAGTTTGCTCATGAAGTGTATCGTGGAAAAACATCTTAATGCTGTTTTAATCCAACGGTGTTCCGGTCCTTAGCTGGCTCTGAGAGCAGGGAATGAGAAGGAGGAAGGAGAGACTGCAGACACCGTTGGCTGCTGCTCGCTCAGAGTTGAACACATCAAGCTCTACCCAGAAAGCGAAGGTCAGGAGTTTGTGGTTGAGTTCGACTTCCTGGGTAAAGACTCCATCCGCTACTACAACAGAGTCCCTGTGGAGAAACGGGTAAGAACGGGAATGTTGCTGCATCGGAGGGGTGAGTATGCTGCGATGGCTGGTTTGTTCATGTTTCTGCTTTTATTTTAGGTGTTTAAGAATCTTCAGTTGTTCATGGAAAACAAAGAACCAGAAGATGACCTGTTTGACCGTCTGAATGTAAGCAGAAATGTGCTGAAGACCTGACTGTTGCAGTGGTGTTTTCCTTGTATGACTGAACTTTCTGTTCCTCAGACTTCTATTCTCAACAAGCATCTTCAGGAGCTGATGGATGGTCTCACAGCCAAGGTTTTCCGTACATACAATGCTTCGATCACCCTGCAGCAACAGCTGAAGGAGATCACTAATGGTATCTGACCAAGTTTACTCCTCTCAAATGATCTAAAGCTATGAGCCCACTAAAAGATCGTGTTGGCCTCTGAAGCCTGTTTTGTTTTGACTGACCCTCTGTCTCATTAGGGGAGGACAACATTCCTGCCAAAATCTTGTCCTACAACCGAGCCAACAGGGCCGTGGCCATCTTGTGTAACCATCAGAGAGCTCCACCAAAGACCTTTGAGAAGTCCATGCAGAACCTGCAGGCTAAGGTAACATTCTTCACTAGCCTGGAAATCTGTCTCTGTAGGTCAGTCTCGCCACGCCCCATCGTAGCCTCAGCAGGTCTACCGTTGACCCGAACAGCTTTGTGTCTGACCAGTCGCGGCGCTCATGTTTGTTATGTGGGCTTAACGCCAGAGCTGCCGTCGGCTCGGGAATGGCGCTTGTCAGCTTTAACAATGTAGACTTGTGCTTCTCTTTGAGACGAGCAGATGGAGGAACTTGAGTCATGGATGTACTTGCTGCTGCTTTTTTACTGTGTATGGCAAACTTCTGGTTCCTGTAGCGATGAATATGTCTGTTGCTCTGATTGGTCCTGGCGCTGTCCAATTGTGAAAGACAGCTGTGGGTTCTGGCTATGGGTCGTGGCTTGCTGGGCTAGATGACTGCTGCTTATGCCTCCTAATCAGCATTTAATCTGTAGATTAGATCTATGTGCTTTAATGAATTTGGGTTTGTCTTTTTTTCTTATAAATGTAAGGGTGTTTTATGACTGTAAAATGTTTCTACTGATTTGAATGAAGTTTTAAGTTAAAAAGGCTATTTGACTTTTTACAGTTTAATACAGTTTAATAGATATTTGCATAGTTTTAACTGGAGTAGAGCTCAGTGTTCCAGTTTCAGTATTTACTGCACTCATCCTTCTTTAGACATCAAAAGCAAAAACGTCTGCATCACCACGAAATTTCTTTTTTTCACTGTTAGATTGATGCTAAGAAGGAGCAACTCTCTGAAACCAAGAGGGAACTGAAAAGTGCCAAGGCTGATCTGAAAGTACGGAGAGATGAAAAGTGCAAAAAGTAAGTTCAGCATAAACGTGTTGTCTCTGTTTGCTGGCCTGATCGGTGAGCCTGTGCTGAACTTCACTACTTCCTGTCTAGACTGGTGGAAGGCAAGAAGAAGGCTGTCCAAAGGATAGAGGAGCAGCTGATGAAGCTGGAGGTGCAGGCGACCGATCGTGAAGAGAACAAGCAGATCGCTCTTGGGACTTCCAAACTGAATTATCTGGACCCACGCATTTCTGTGGCCTGGTAAGATGATGATGATGATGGTGATGATGATGGTGGTTGTAAATCTTTAGATTAGTGCTGTTTATCCAGCTTGTTATAAGTGAAGACTAGGCTGGAAGGGATTAACCGGTTTGCCTCGGTGTGAAACACATTCATTCCTTCTGAAGACCGCCGCAAATGCATTGATTAAACCAGTGTTCCACACCTTTAAGGGTATTTTAAGTTTTAAACTGTAATTTAAATTATACTGACATTACTTTGATTTTATAAAATAATTTTTCTAAACAGTCTCTGGAAAGGAATAGATGTCTGCAGAGGTTCAAACCCTTTATATACAGAAGCATATTACCGTCAGTGCGGGGGGACATGAGAACAAGAACCTTTCTTGTTAAAAGGTGATGTCGATCTTGTTTTAAACAGAAATCTCTTAAAATAACGTGTTTCATTACTCGTAATAATGAGAAAGCTCTCGAGGGTGAAACGGACATCTCACGGGATGTTTGAAATCAGTCCAGAAGAAACCAAGTAAGATGGACGCCGAGAGAGCTGCTTTGTCTTTAAGAAGCGGTAATGAGTCTGGAAAAGATATTCCTCCAAACTCCCACCGGGTCGTCCTCCACTTTAAAAACAACCCGAGCCCCCAAGCAAAGTTGTGGTACTTCCACTTTGTAGTTGAGGTGCAGATTTCAAAGTAAAGGTTCACTTCCTGTTTGTGCTTTTTCACATTTAAAAACTTTGAAGCGTTCATTCACACACAAAATGTCCTGATGTTACACTAGCATGTTCTCTCTGCGAGATGCTTCACGTTAGAACAAGACGCTGGTCCTTCAGTGTTTCCCTGCACCGACGGTAATGTGCTGCTGTATTTGTACAATGTTATCATGCCCTTTATCCATATGTGTGATTTATACGTGTTAATAGAGATGTTATCCATTAATGTAAAAATAATCATAAAACGGTTTATTTCTCAAACCACCAAAATGTTTGCAGCAAGCGCTCTGAAGTTTCTCTCACCGCTCTGAATCCTGTAGGTGTAAGAAGTGGGGCGTTTCCATCGACAAGATCTACAACAAAACCCAGCGTGACAAGTTTGCTTGGGCCATCGACATGGCAGACGAGGACTATGAATTTTAAATTCCTGTTTATCCGTGAGACTTTTTTAATGAATATTTGTTTTTCTAAACTTTCAACAGTTTTGCTTGATGTCCAGAATCAGCAAGCTATTTTAAGGTTCGTGCAGGATAAAAGAAATGGAAGTGGCTTTAGGATGAGACGAGGCCTTTGCGTTGTGGACGGGACAAAAATCTGATCCGAGATCGTGTAACAGGCTCAAATTTATAAGTTTGAGACTTTTCCGGTTATCTTGTAAAGATGACCAGAAAGTCCAGTTCTGAGTTAAAACTCTGAGGTGGCCCTGTTCTGGATGACAGAACCAGCGGCTGAGCGATGTGTCTACAACAGATGATTATGGCTCGGTGCTCTTACCGACGTCCCTCCTCTGGAACAAGAGCCTGACACCTACCTGTATGTCTGTGGACGGCACCCAGGCTGTGAACTCGGTGTGTGGTCACAAACACACGTCTTTTTCTTTAGTGGTTGTCAGTCAGACTGTAACATGAGGTCTTTTCACTACGCAGTCTGACACACAAGCACAGGAAACTTGAATCTGTGCTCAAGTCATAGCTGTGTCACTCAAAAATAAAACTGCTTTGTATATTTTATTTTCTTTGTTCACTCACTATGTATTTTAACCTTCCCATGTATTGATAATGAATTCTATATTTTGATAGACAAAGTAAAATCAGAAAACTCCTTAACGACACCCATGCGCCTTTCAATGAAGTGTGAGTGGAGTGGTGTGTGTGTGTGTGTGGTTTGGATCAGGCTCGACCGTGAAAGCTGTCCTGGTGCGTATTCTGAACTGGACTGTTTGTTAAGAGGATGTCTGAGCAGACGAAGGGGAAAACGGAACGACCTTGTCCATATTTACCCAAGCAAACAGATTGTGAATATTTTGTTTTGCAGCTTCTATCAGGGATTTCTTTTTTCTGGTGTAAATGTGATTTTGGCCTTTTTACCCCTTGTTTTGCAAGCGTCCTTTAAATCTCCTCACATAGCGCTCTCAGGCCGGGGACACACCAGCCGCCGAAGCGCCGCGAAACGGGGACCGCCTTCATTCGGCACCCTTGTTATCCTATTCTATAGACCACATGGGCCGCCGAAGCGCCGGCGCTCCAGCCCGCGCCGTGCAGCGATCGTTTCGGCGTCTGCTCTACTTTAAGCGTGAACCGCGTCAATTCTGGCAGGAAGTCAAACCTAGACATAAGAGGCAGGCCGGTAAATTTAACAAAATAAAGCATTTCAAAATACAATTCCGCAAATAGTCAAATGTGTTCGTAAACAGACACTGCATAAAAACCACACAAGTTCGCTGTGTGTGTGTGTGTGTGTCTGTGTGTGTGTGTGTGTGTGTGTGAGAGAGAGAGAGAGAGAGAGAGACCACATGAAGGGGGTGTGGTTTTGGGTGTTTTTCAACCGGAGCAAACAGGACATAAAGGCAGAAAGTCGTAGGCCAACTATTAACATGGTTCACACACACACACACACACGTACAAACACACACACACAGCAAGGGGGAGGGGGGTGTAGAGGAAAAGGCAGAGAGGAAATGGAGGACACCAAGTGGTTAAAAGAAAAACTACAAGGCGTGCCTCGAGCGGAGAAACAAGCGTCTGGTCTGAACTGAGGAGCAGCGGCCGAATTTCGTGAGCGCTTCGCCTCCCAGCGCTTCGGCGGCCGGTGTGTCCCCGGCATCAATCTGATTTTAAGGTATTTAGCAGATGTTTATAAGATATAAAACCCATCTTTTACTTGAACACAATGTTTAATGTATTTAGGCAGTCGTGCCTCCTCCTGCGGGGGTGTGATGAATATCAACTTTGCCAAAAAAAGGACAAAAGAAATCGCTCAGCTGTAACGGTGTAGGCAGGATTTAATTGTGTAATGATTAAGGAAAAAGTCATGTAACATTTAATGTGAATTATTTCGTGTTATTCCACTCATTCACTTGCAATAGGAAAGTTGATGTTAACAGCTGTAAAGTCAACAACCTATTCCTGTTTTTACCCTTTCTGTCATAGCCTTTTAATGTCTTTGAGTTTTAAGCTAATTGTAGATTGAAAACAAGAATAAATCTCTCCAGGTAAAAGAAGTGTTTGACGTCTTCTTCCCCCCACGAAGCTACAGGTTTAATATTCTGTTTCAGGTAGACTAAACCAAACCTCCACTCGCATTCGTAGTAAACATGGTATTTACATACTTTTAAGTGTGTTCTCTCCTCACTGGCCAGCTGATTTCATGGTCAGGTATGTATTTAATATGTCTTTTTAAAATAAATTACTTTTATCCATCCAACTTTTTTTATACAGTTTCTGTTAAACATCTGGGATAGTTCACTTTCTACATAGTTGACCTAGGAATGAGCCGGATACTCATTTCAGACAAGTATCCGGTACGGATAAAGCATTTTTGACGAGTACGAGCATGAAACGAGTAAAACTCGTAAATATCTAATCGTGCTGAAGGAAAATCCTCATTGGGTAACGACTGTCTTGCCGCTCTGTGATTGGCCAGTCAAATAGAGCGCCCGCCCCTCCCTACACACAAAAGTGGAGGTCACAGCTCAGTCCACGTCCGGTCCATCCACGCACACACAGTAACGGATCTCTGCTTGCTTCACTGTTCATGTTTCTTCAGTACTCCCTATGTTTGCTTCAGTTTGCTTCTTTTTAAAGTTACTTTTTTTGTAACGTACGTGGCGCATTTAACAAGGCCGCTGAAAACGCCTCGTGCTGCGTCAGCCACTGCTTCCGCTCCGGTCGGGGTTTTTTCCCCTCTCTTCCTCAGGCCGGGGACACACTGGCCGCGGAAGCGCCGCGAAAATGGGACCGCCTTCATTCGGCGCCCTTGTTAAGCTATTCTATAGACCACATGGGCCGCTGAAGCGCCGCGAATCGCCTCGCGCCGGCGCGCGCCGGCGCTCCAGCCCGCGCCGTGCAGCGATCATTTCGGCGTTGGCTCTATTTTTTTCGCGAGCCGCGGGTGAATCGCGTCAATTCTGGCAGGAAGTCAAACGTAGACATAAGAGGCAGGCCGGTAAAGTTAACAAAATAAAGCATTTCAAAATAAAATTCCGCAATAGTCAAATGTGTTCGTAAACAGACACTGCAGAAAAACCACACGAACACGCACACACACACATCGAACTTGTGTGCGTGTGTGACCACGTGAAGGGGGGAGTGGTTTTGGGTGTCTTTTCACCGGAGCAAACAGGACAGAGAGGCAGAAAGTCTGAGGCAAGCAGTTAGGATGGATGACTTTAAATTAATTATGGAAGTTGAGAAACACAAGGAGCTGTACGACCCCCGAAAAACATGATTGTTTACGTACCCATGTCGGAAGAAACTGCTAGGATACAGCTGCAGAATTGGAGCGGGTTCCAAGAGATTCAACTGGCAGAAACAACTCATACCATAGGTTCACACACACACGCGCGCGCACGCGCACAAACACTCAAACGTAGGAAAAGAGCTGAGAAAAGGCAGAGAGGAAATGGAGGACACCAAGTGTTTAAAAGAAAAACTACAGCTGAGCCGAGGCGCCCCTCGACTGGGGCGCGTCTGATCTGAACTGAGGAGCGGCGAGCAGCGGCCGAATTTCGTGAGCGATTCGCTTCTCGGCGCTTCGCGGCGCTTCCGCGGCCGGTGTGTCCCCGGCGTCAGTATCCACTCCCTCTTTCCTATTCACCTTTGTCTTTCCATTTCACAATTGTCTATTTTTTGCTCGTTTTAAATATATTTTAATCATTTTCTAAATACTTTTTTCTATTTTACATGTTTTGTTTTTGTGAAGCGCCCCGTGATTTTTATCTTGAGAGGCGCTATAGAAAAGATCTTTTCTTCTCTCTCGCTCTTAATCCATGCACTTAAATATTAATGTTCTGATTTTATTGAAAAACTTGTTCTGTAATGGTTCCAGGGGCGTCGTACTGGGGGGGGGGAAGGGTACCGTTTACCCAGGGCCCACTGCAGGGAGGGGCCCTGAGACAGCTTTGAATAAAAATGTTTTATTGTTGTTGTTTTTTCCCCCAACTTACTTAATGTCTTAATAAACTTCCCTTTACCTGGATAAAGAGGTTAAGAAACAAAATTTCGCCTTAAAAATAATAACTGAATAACCTCTGAGGCATCTATCACCCCTTAAAAATGTGCAAAGTGGTTTAGTCCACACCAGCGGCCAGGGGCTGCACGGCCGCATGTACAGCTATGAGACATCGCAGATGCCGACAGCCAGAGCTGGAGGCAGGAGAGTCAGTCATGTCTTTTCCCAAGAAAGGGAAATCTGGCTTCCAGAAAAGAAGGAGAAAAAGTTAATTGAACAGAAGCAAGTAGAAGGACGGTGAGCAGCAGCAGAACACAGTTAGCTAGCTCTCAGAAGCTTCATTCATGTTAGGTGTTCAGTGTTAAACGCCTTTAGTTTCACCATCAAGATCAAATATGAATTAATTAGTGTTATCAGTGAAAACACTAATTAATATATATATATTAATCAGAATTATTATCGCGGGCGACCTCGCAGTAAAAACAGGTTCACTCTGTGTGGATATTTCAGCTCCTTCCCAGTCATGGACCAGGACAAACTTGGTATCGATGGATTCGTGGTAATCTCAGGAACGTGAAGCTGCCACTGTTTTTCGTATAGCATGATGACACGGGTGTTAGAGGATTGTTATTGACTTGGTTAGATATTTTAAGCCTATTTTAAATTTCTTTATATTTGATCTTGAAAACGGACAATCTTATAATTTGGCTGATAATGCAGGGATTATAAAATTTAGAGTACATTACATTCACAGAGAGAACCTGGTTTATTTCATGTCATATGTATTTAATATATCAATATATATCAGTATTAGCAAAGCTTAACATCATGCACCATGACAGACATGACTGAAGAGCAGATGAAGATATCATGCCAGGCACTGATGAGAAAACATTACAAGGATCTCACAGCTGAATTTGAGAATGAGGTGCTACACCTGAGAACAATATATGGTGCCACATTTCCACACATTCGGTCTCCTCTTGAGCTGCTTAATGCCATCTACAGGATGCAATTACAGAGCATTTCTGGAGAAGTTTGTATTAAACTGAGGATATTTTGCACACTACCTGTGACTGTTGCTGGGGTGAACGGGCTTTTAGCAAACTGAAACTGGTGAAAAATTATTTGAGATCAACAATGTCCCAGGATAGACTGAACAGCCTAGCTCTTCTTTCTATTGAAAGCCAATTAGCCAAAGGATTGGACTTTAAAGATCTCATAAGTGATTTTGCTAACATGAAGACCCGTCAGTGGGCATTTACTGGAAAATAAATTCCAGGATTTTTGTTTGAACACATTGTTGGCAAATAAAAATAATTATATGTGAAGTCTGGGCATTTCACTTTTATTATGCTGGCATTTGTATTTGCTCAATATAGAGGTTAAACTAAGATCATATTTATTATCTTGTCTTATAGCATGACAAGAAATGTGTAAGAGAGATGTTAAACAATTGAGCATGGGGGCCCACCTAGAAGACTTGTACCTAGGGCCCAGAATTTGGTGCTACGCCCCTGAATGGTTCCTTTAATATTGTGATCAAAAACATTTAATCTCAACTCTGAAGCTGCTCTGTAAATAGTTTTCAAATAAACAATGCACAGCAACTTCTGATCAGAATTATTATTGTAATAGTATTGACGTAAACCACACCAACTTCCGGGTTAGGCCACGCCCACTCCGAGTACAGATACAGATAATTTAGATGGTTGAACAGATACAGATAGCTGGCCGATGATACCTGCCTTTTTCTTCAAAATGATCTTCAAGTCCCTGTTATTATTAAAGCTTTAAACAGGTTCTCGGATGCTTCTGGTCTCACAGTTAATAAGAGAAAATGTGAAATATTAGCCATACATGATTTAGACACCGTATCAATAGATGGCATAGAGGTTAAAAAAAAAGTTAAATATTTGGGTATCACTGATTAAGCAAATCCTCTAGTGAAAGAATTTCAAAAAACTTCAACCCAAAAATCTAAATCTGTCTTTAATTGCTGGCTACAGGGGGATCTTACCATTATAGGTTGTGTTTTACTCTCCAAGGCTGAAGGATTATCCAGGTTAGTATACCCAGCTTTATATTAATATGTTGATGGCAAAACCTGTGCAGCTATTGATTCACTCTTATTTAAGTTTATTTGGAAACATAAAAATGAAAATGTAAAGAGGAAAACACTTATTAGACAGATTCCAGAGGGGGGTCTTAATGTATTGGATTTCCAAACTATCAACAATATATTCAAAATTAATTGGTTAAAACATTCTTTCACATAATAATGAACCATGGCTTTTTATTCCCAATTTTTTGGTTAACAAATGTGGCGGCTTAAAGATCTTGCTTTCATGCAACTTTACCTCAGGTAAACTGCCCGTTAAACTGGCCAACTTTCACAAACAAGCCCTGGACACTTTGAAAATGGCTTCCAAACACAACTTTTCCCCTCACACGTGTACTTTTTGGAACGATCAACATATTGCTCACAAGAACAAGACTCTGTTTTACAAAGACTGGTATGATCACAGTGTTATGTTTGTGTTTGATCTTTTGAATGATAATGGGGACCTAGCTACCTATGATGAATTCATCCAATGAAAGGGGTTAAACACATCTCTCGCTATGCACTCTAGAATCCTCCAAAGCATTCCTGTTCATTTACCGTCTCTTGTCAGAGCTCCTGGTCAGTATGCACCTGACACAGGAAGGATTCCTGCACTGTGTCTTGGTGGAAAGCTTCCTGAAGAGCGCTCATGTAACAATGCTCACATTAGAGCAGTTTTCACCTCTCTACATAGTCAGGTTCCAAATTCATTACATCGTTGGAGGGTAATGTTTCCTGACATCAGTAGCAATGCCTTTTCTGAGGTTCAGAAATTTTTTGTCCCCAATAAAGTTAAAGAAATACACTTGAAAATCTTACATAGATATTATCCGTGTAATGAATTTATTAATAGATTTAGACCTGATGTGTCCCCTTTATGTTCCTTTTGCAAAACAGGTGTTGAGTCTCTTACTCATATGTTTTATGGTTGTCCTTTAGTTGTACATTTTTGGAATCAATTGTCTGCATTAGTTTGGGATTCTCATGAAATATTGATTACTTTTAATGAAAGTATGGTCTTATTCTTAAACGTTAAATGTAACAAGGAAGTTAACGATGTAATAAAATTGCTGTGTCTGTTGGGTAAATTTCACATTCATAAAGTCAGATTTCTACAGGCTATACCAAATGTAACTTTATTTTATATTGATCTAATTTTTTTTATGACTGTACTTAATTGTTAGTAAAAACAGGAAAGCTGTGAAAATATGCAACTTGATGAATTCTATTATGCCCCATATTACAAGGTAATGTATTAGTGGACTTTTATTTTATTTGTGTATAATTATTTGTTTATTTTTATTAATATTTTTTTCTCCTTCTTCTCTGTCAATGTATCACACCCTGTACATCGATGTTGTTTTGTCAATGTGTTATGTCTTGTCTGCTGCAAATGTGTCAATAAAGATTGTTTAAAAAAAAGATACAGATAGTGGTGTACTCGCTCATCCCTAGTTGACGCTTTCCATGCAAGATCAGATTGTTGCCATACTGTTGCAACACCTCCATGTAGTCAGATGTAATGACCGCTGCTCACCAGCAGGTGGCTCCATGTGCGTGTTTCCTTGCAGCATGTCCTCGGGACAAAGTGGTGCAAACTGAACAAACAAAACCTTGCTGCTTGGTGAGTATTCAATTTATTCTGTAAAGACTCAGAAGTGTAGAAAGGATGATACAACAGTGCTTTATGATCAAAGACGGTTTCATAAAAGTTTGAAGTGATCATTAACACCATAAGTCAAGATTTTATTGAGCTCAAACCAAAATAAGTTTGTAACATTCGACACAAGTGCATACACTGCTGGTAGGAGACGACCTCCAATTTCACTTTGGATGGTATAGCACCGTTCTGAGCTAGTAGCTGCTTGACAAAGATGCAGTTTTAGTAAAATTCATGTAGTGACTGGATGTTTCTATATAAACAATAAAATCAGAGGAGAGCAAAGACCCCCACATTTGGCTCTCTAGCTAGCACGATCTCTCCCTCTGCCAGTGTCTAGGGATCAAATTGGTACTTTAGTTTTGAACCTTTTGCCAGTAAAGATTTTTGATACAATTACAGCTTAAAGTTGAACATCTCCAAGTGTACATAAAGCAGCACGAGATATTTTTTCATTATTTTCACAGATATAGACCAACAGTGACTATCAATGCACTGGCATGTTTTAGTTTCATTATTTTTCTTTATTTTGGAACAGCACAGTAGCTTGAAAGCGAGGTGATGGACAGACGGGTCATATAAACACAGACAGCTGAGTAAGGCAACGGTAGCGTGACAGGCTTCTCTCTGTTCAGTTAGCAGGGCAGTGTAGTGCATTGATCCTGACCAAGCTGTCGATACGTTTACAGTGAAGCAGAGTGATTATTTTCTTTTAAGCATTGCTGTCTTCATTAGTGCATTGTGTATAGTCTCTTGCGTGTAGCTGAACTGCAAAGTGATCACCAACATTATTACAGATCTAAATCAGACATGTCTGATTGCATCTGGACTTACAGTGACTATAGAAGAGTACGTAGAATTGAAAATCCAAATAACGGAAAAAGTAAAATTCAAGGCAGTGCTGAAGTACTGGTTACTAAAAAGGTAAAAAATACCACAAAGCCAACAATAACATTTCCATGACACATCATTAGTTTGTCCAGTCAGTACAACCCATCTTTTATAGTGCAGTTTCAGTCATATATATATATATATATTTATTTATATATATATATTTCTCCCAGTGGCCCAGAAACGATTTCTCATGGCCATATCCCAACCCATCTTCTCTCATTCAAGTCAGTTTTCCAGTCAGTGTGCGTCTTTCTTTTCTTTGATCCCTCGTTCTGACCTCATTGTGCACCCTCCCCACACAACCACAAAGAAGCATAAAAGGCTTAAACATCACAGGATTCGAAGGTGAGAAGTTTTCTTTTGACGACGGCAGGAAGTGATGGAAGAAGAGAAGGAAAAAGAGGAGGGGGTGGGGGTATTCACAGTTTCAGTCAGAGTCCAACGGTCCAGCTACAATCACATCTGCTGTCATTATGAACACATGTTGTTTGTTTTCTCCAACTATGATGACCAGAACCAGTCGTCCATCGGCCTGCTTCTCGGGATCATCACACCTCCAGCAGCTCCATCCTCAGGCGATCCCTAAACAGACAAAGCCCACGTCATGCCCAGCATGTCAGAGTGCAGTTGGAAGGTTCTTGGACTGTTGCACAGAACATGCCTGTTTTAGTGTTAAACTGCCTGTGAGAAATCCACCCAACCAAGAATGATTGCCATGATTTATTCACATATATTAGCATGTGCACTCTTATCTATAATTCAGAGCCCAAACTCCTTGTCTAAAAATAGCTTTTTACACACAGGCTTTGATTGCCTGAATAAGCTCCTCAGGAGTACCTGTACACACTTCTCCTGTTTTCTTTTGACTGTAAAACACGCGTCAGCCACTACAAAACCACAAGCTGTCACGCTTTTATCACTCCCCTGCTTACATCATTTTTCATTTCTTGACTGATAAACGGCACTTAGCTTGTAAATATCACCAGGCACTGTAAATGAAAAGCGCCTCTAACTTTAGTAAACTGTAAATGACTGAAGTACCTGGCCTGATTGACGTCGGTTGGTTGTTCGATGAGTGACTGACTTGCCATTGGCTGTTGGTTGTCCTCTCCTCTCTTTGACCAGGGGTCCCGCTCTAACTCCTGAGCTCTGTCAAGCTCATCGACCCCCTCTGACCTCGTCAGAGCCAACAGCGGGGTGTATGAATCCTGCCACACAACCCTCTTTGATGAGTTCAGCCCTGCTTCTCCTTCAAGGTGCTTGTTCATCTTATGCTCAGCTAATGTCTTCTTGGCCACCAGACCACCATTGTCCTTTGATGATTGTGCTTTCGAGTCCCTGTGGCCCCTCACCTCTTCACACTCCATGGGCGGCTGCTGATAGGTCTCCAGCCATTTCAGCTGCCCATTCTTGTGGCTGTAGCGGCTGTCGCTAAACCAGCGCACCACCTCTGACTTAGGAAGGCCTGTCTGGATGCTTAACTCCTCGTACTGCAAGCTGCTAGGCCAGCGGGTGCTGGAGAATGCCTGGCGGAGAATTTGCAGCTGCTGTGGGGTCTTGTTACCCCAGGGTGGGGAAAAAGATGAATGACAGGCAGATACTTCAATCTCACACTTGGGTTCTTGATGTGCAGCCTCAGATGAACCTTTTGGTTCATTCATCTTCAGCCTCTTAATGTTGATCTTAATTGGGTCAACCCTGACCTTTGAACCTCCTCTGTCTCCAACAGTAGGATCATCCTCCTTAATGAGTTGCTGTAGGATTGGCATGCCTTTCATAGGAAAGTCTTTATCTACATCTAAAATGGCTGAATTACTTTTTGCAATAACAGTGGTGCTGGTGGTTTTGTTTGGGGATTTGCTAGCATTGTTTTGGTTTGAGACGCTGTCGTTACAAGTTGAACTGGGGTATTCGCTGCTAATACTGTTGTCGGTATTGTGAATGTAGTTGTTGTTGTTTTCGTTGTCGGGTTTTTCGGCTTGGGCCAACTGTGGTGCACCAATGACACTGCTGTTGTGATTGTTACAGGGGGCGTTGGATTTGCTGGTGTTGTCGATGGCCACTTGACTCATGGTGCCATTTGAAACCTCTGATCCAATTGGTAAATTGTTATTTGGTTTGCCGTTAGTGTCAGCAGCACAGTGCTCCCCATTATTGCTAATGCTGGCAGAGCAGGTGCCAACGGTTTTGATGTTGTTGGTTGGGCTGCTGCTGTTGTTCACCAGTTTCCTGTTCTCAACATCATTACTACTGCTGCTGCTGCTGGCACATCTGCTGCTCCCTGCCACATCTAAACCAATACTTTTGTCTGGCTCCACAGTAGGTTCAGTACTTTTGGTTGGGTCCTGTATTGTTTGGACAACTGTAGGAAACTTTGGGGGGGCAATTGGAGAAGGATATGAGACCCTTGTGACCTGGGGCTTGGTCATTATGCTGGCTGGACTGGCTATGACTCCAACAGGCCTGGTTTTAGTACTGCCAAATGGAACTTTGGCCATTTGAAGATTTGGTCCTTTAGTACCTGGATGGGCAGTAACAGTGTGGTGGGTTACAATGTGATTAACCTGCCTTGGTGTCACAGGCTGCCTCTGGGGTGCACCTCCTTGGAAAACAGTGTTAAACATCTTTCTTCTGGCCTCTTCGATCTCTTCAGGAGACCAACTAATGCCCTGCTTTAGCCTTTGGGCAGTAAACCATAGTTTGATTTGCTCTTCGGGGAACTCTGAAACCACAGTTAAGTAGCAGAGCTCGGCTTTGGTCGGGTAGGGGAATTTGCCAAAGGATGTCTTGAGAAAACTGCTGGTGTCCATGGTGGCATCATAGGTAGGGATGCTGCTGAGAGGGATCATTACCTTTGGAAAATCTTTATTTGAGTCACAAGAGAGGGGAGAGTAAAGGGTGGGAGTCTGCTGGTGAAAGACTTGGTTGGACACTGTCGTTGCAATCACATGGGTGACAGTGGTCCTCGGCATAGCTGGGGCACCAGAGGAACTGAGGGCCCCATTTTGGAGTTCAGGCACATTAGTCAGCATGCTGGGGTCTACGTCCTTTCCAGTGTCTATTTTCCGTAGCTCCACAGTGTGAGAAACCACAATCTTTTTGTGCTCCCCTTTGGCTTTCATCATCTTGGCTATTGGTGTTTTGGTAAGCGAGATCCCAGATTCTCTGTATTCTTCTCCACTGTTGGTGAAGAGGCTTTGCTCCACTGTAGTTACTCCATCTCTCTTGTTGACACTTAGGGAGGCAGTCACCAAGCCCTCCATTATCTTAGGGTGAGCATTGGCATTGTGCAGTGCAAGAGCCTCAAAGCGGACAACTGACACCCCACAGTTCAGGCAGTAGAAGATGGGCTGGGCCCTGAAGTCCAAGTGGCAGTTGTGCATGTGATCTAAAAAATAATTGAGATCTCTGGACTCAAACTGGCAAGAGACGCAGCTATATGTACCGCCTTTCTGCGTTTCACTTTCAGATTTGGAGGAGATGTTAGAGAAATGGCCAGACTCCTCTCCAGAGATGCTGAGTATGTCATCTTCTGGGATTGTTGGTAGGAGTTCTGGTAGTGAGCCCAGTATAATTTCCTCGCGCACATGTTTGGATTTGGATGGTATCATGCAGGGCACAGTGGATTTCCTCTTGCTGGCCATATTGCAGCTTTGCGTGAAGAGGACAGTGAGTGACTGGTTGTCTGGCGTGATGAGAACAGAGGGCAGGTGAATAGTGGAGAAGGTTGAGTGGAGTCTAGTGTCATGGACAAGCCCCTAGAACGTCACAGTGATGCTTCATGCCTTCTGCCACCTCTGGACGACGGTCACATACACACGTTTAATAGCTATCCGGGAACCTGAAAGATAGGAAAACCAAACAGAGGAAAGAATAGTCTTTTAGCATATTTATATATCGGTTAGTCGGTTATCAAGACAGCAAAAAGAGTAAATCATGAAAAGAAAAGATCTAGTAATCATTCAACATGAACATTAGGTGAGAAAGTAAAGCAGATTTGAATTGTGCATTTTCTAATTAAAAGCAACATGAAATATCACAATGAGCTTTGTAACAGAAATTGCAGTTAAAGCATCAAAAGAAAAGTAAGAACTTTGTATTTAATCAAAAATGAAGGTCATATTTAATGACTGCAGTAAGGGAAGTTCTGAGAATTTTGCTCTCCAGACATTTTCCCTTTTTAGATTGGAACCACAGTTCGGGAATTTCATTTCATTCAATTAGCAAAAGCAGACCTGGTAAATGCTAAGATATTTACTCGACAAGAATTTAAATAGGGGAAAGTTCTTTTATCAGCCTGTCACTGAGTTCTACAGCGCTGGTTTCCAAGGATGGGGTCAAGACCACACAAAACACTGGGTGGGAGGCTTCAGAAGATCTACAAAAATCTAATCAGCTTGTCAAATTACTGCCAACTAGTCTTAGCTGTTTCAAATATTTAAAAACTGGTGTCCTACGAGGGTCTTTGTTAACATTTTACAATAAGGGTCCCCTTACTAATGTTACTTAGTAGCAGAGGTGTGACCAAGTCACTGCTTTGCAAGTCACAAGTAAGTCACAAGTCTTTCCAGTCAAGTCCAAAGTTAATGATGTGGATGTCCAAGTCACGTCCAAGTCCTTAACTTTAAATTTTCAAGTCATAATCAAGTCATCTGTTCAACTTCAATTTAATGACTCTGACAATAAATAAATTCCAGAATAAAAGCTTCTTAAAGCTTCATTTATTTGCTCAAACAGCAGAAAGTGAAACTGATTATAAACAAAGTGCTGCTGTATTTCAAACTCAATAATACTTTATTAATCCCAGAGGGAAATTAGTTTCAGTACACACAATTCTGAGATCCGACATACATGCATATATACATGACAAGAATTGGTGACTGTGGTCATTCGCAACCTGAGTCGCGCTACCTTAATAGATCAAGAGGGTTTATATGAGGATAGAGTCAGGGGGAGGGGAAAAAAAGGCACTTCAGAGTTACTCTCCATAGACAAGGCAGCAAAAAAAAAAACCCACCTCAGACAGAAATGCACACAGACTTCAGACATTACACAACATAAGTGTCCACTAGGTGGGAAGGTAGGGTTGGGACTCTCCTCACTTCGGTGCGTGCAGCCGCATGGGGCACCGCTCATCACCTCCGTTTGGACAGGGGAGGGAGATGATGGGTTAGAGGGCACATTGACTCCTGGATATGGTTCCACGGCCGTCACCGGTCACAGTCCCGCCCAGGCTGGGATAGGGAGACAGAGTTACCATAGCGACGGCAACATTCCACATTTCTTCTGAGGGGGGAGTTATCACTTCAGCCTCACAGGCTCCAAGGGCACCAGATTCAGATGAGGAGTGTTTTGGGGACAGACAGATAATTTCCTCTCTGCCTTAGAGTTCTGTTGGTCTTCAGCCCCTCTAGATCCAATAATGGCGTAATTAATCAATCCCAATCCGTGCTGATCCGTCAACTCGCTCCTTGATGGAATCCACCTTCTGTGTCAGAGCCTGAATCTCAGCCAAAGTTCCAAGCTTTCGACTCATCTCAACAATTATATGAGTTTGTGCGTTCACAGCGCGATGCATTCCATCCCTGAGCCAATATTCCTCGAAAGCTCATTAATTTTTCGGTAAGCCAGGTAACCGCTCAGGCCAAACAGCAGGAATCCCGACACCAAAACCACGAATATCCAAACATCTTCAGAATCCTCTACAGACAGTTGAGAGAGGCAGATCAGGTTCCACTGTTTCCAGGAGTCCATAATGGCTCTGTCCCAGAGGGGCATCCGGGAGCCCCTTCTCCCGTTCTCATCGCTGAAAAAATGTTGTCAATCGCCTTGAGTGACCAACTGACCAGATCCATTTTAATAATTTCCAGTTTCCAGAAAAAATGCAGAATGCGCCGTGCACAAGACAGGACAAAGAGCCTTGGGATAAGGAGGGAGAGGAGGAAAAAGCATCTGTACTCTCCAAGAGCCGGAAGAACAGTAACTGAAGAGCAGTAAATCAAACCCAGAACCAAGAATGATTTATGATTTTTGTCCATGTCGTGCCACTTTTGTGCTAAAATATCAAACATTCTCAAGTCATCATCAAGTCATCTCAAGTCCGAGTCAAGTCGTAAATCTTTGTAGATTTTATCAGTTCAAGTCAGAAGTCATTAAAATAATGACTCGAGTCTGACTTGATTCCAAGTCATGTGATTCGAGTCCACACCTCTGCTTAGTAGATAATATGCATTAATATACTATTAAAGTATTAATAACTGCTTAATATTAATGTTAATATTAAGTAATGCATTACAAAGCAGACCCCCCCCCCCAGCCCCTTGTTTTCACCTTAAGGGTACTTAATAGGTAACAATATCTGTAAAATTATTAAAGGGATCCTTTGCTTATTGCTGCTTAGTAATGCACTAAGTAATGTTAATACAGGGACCCTAATCGTAAAGTGTTCCCGAATATTTGATGAGTCTTGATGGCTCATTAGTCTTGCATTACCCAGTAATCGTTGGGGTCACGAATGCTGGCTCCACCCTGTTACTTAAATCCACAGGCTTCTGTTTAAATGTGACATTTTATAAAATCAAAATACAGGAAATTCGAAACCCCTCCTGCGGTCGGTAAACATCGGCCCTTTTAGTTTACAGAAACACGTGACCTCTAAATGATTTGAGTGAATTATTTTTCTGTAAAACATTCCATATTCTATTTGTTTGTATTGTTGGACTTCAAACCAGCTCATAACCTCAGGAAAAGGTTAATGTCAGCATGCAAATAAGTTTTTTTTAAAGACTTCACACCTATCGAGTGTGATGCACTCCTACTGTCTGATGGTGCCAAACGTATCTAACCTTCCCTACTCTGTCACACAGTTTCAGCAACCGCAAAAATGCTAAATATGCACGCGGGTTTATGTCTGCCAAATAAAAGTTCTCTGAGTTTATGACGGTGATTTTTTAAATCATATTAATTTGTGAGTTTGTGACGGAAAAGCTGATCCTATGAATTGAGGACTTCCTGTTTGGGTTACTGTTGTACGTGCAGAGAAAGGTTAAATAACAGTGATCACGCTTGGATAGAAGCCACGTGTTTACAATGTACCCTACTGACATAGCACAGTGCCAAGATAAAAACTAGGTGTATGTGTGTGTGTGTGTGTGTGTGCATGCGCACGCACATGTTTTGACAAAATAATCATAAAAGTCTTCTAGCTACATCCCTCTAATCCTAAGAATAGACATCGATTCTTCATAGTTATGCTTCTTTTTTTTTTACTCCTCGCTTACATAAAACAAGCCTCTTCCTTCTTCTGTTGGATAAACTAAAATCAGCATCCAATTTTAAAAACCTGCTAAATGCAAAATTATGAAAATAAAAATGGAGGGAAAATCTGAAATCTATGGCAGCACGGTGAAGCCGTGCCCTCTGCTTGAACTTGTGACACACACTTGCACTCTCACACAGCTTCCGTACCCCTCTCATCCTCATTTCCGAGTCTGGAGATGCACTGATGTGTAACATGCTGCTGAAAACTAGTCTCATCCCATCATCATCTATCCACATCACCCAGGCTTTGCCCTGAAAGCTTATTTTCCTGGGAAAGAAAACAAAAACTCTCCCTCTCCCTGGCCAAGGCAAAAACCCGGGCATGGGAGGAGTTCGGTGAGACCATGGAGCAAGACTTCCATACGGTTTCAATGAGACTCTGGGCCACCATCCAGCGCCTCAGGGGGGCAAGCAGTGCGCTACCAACACTATCTATAGTGGGGACGGTGTGCTGCTGACCTCTACTCAGGACGTTGTGGATCAGTGGGCAGAATACTTCGAAGACCTCCACAATCTCACCAACACGTCTTCCAGTGAGGAAGCAGAGTCTGGGGACTTTGGGTTGGACTCTCAAATCTCTGGTGCTGAGATCACTGAGGTGGTTAAAAAGCTCCTCTGTGGCAAGGCTCCAGGGGCGAATGAGATCTGCCCGAAGTTCCTTAAGGCTCTGGATGTTGTGGGGCTGTGTTGGCTGACGTGGCTCTGCAATATCGCGTGGACATCGGGGGCAGTCCCACTGGACTGGCAGACCGGGGTGGTGGTCCCCTTATTTAAAAAGGGGGACCGCAGGGTGTGTCCAACTATAGGGGGATCACACTCCTGAGCCTTCCTGGTAAAGTCTATTCAGGGGTTCTGGAGAGGAGGATATGTTGGATTGTTGAACCTCAGATTCAGGAGGAGCGATAAGGTTTTAATCCTGGCTGTGGAACACTGGACCAGCTCTATGACCTTAGGGGGATCCTGGAGGGTGCGTGGGAATTTGCCCAACCAGTCTACACGTGTTTTGTGGATTTGGAGAAGGCGTTTGACCGCGTCCCTCGGGGGGCCCTGTGGGGGGTACTCCGGGAGTACGGGGTACCAGGCCCTCTGATACGGTCTGTTAGGTCCCTGTATGACCGGTGTCAGAGCTTGGTCTGCATTGCCGGCAGTAAGTCGGACTCGTTCCCAGTGAGAGTTGGACTCCGCCAAGGCTGCCCCTTGTCACCGATTCTGTTCATAACCTTTATGGACAGGATTTCTAGGTGCAGCCAAGGTGTGGAGGGCATCCGTTTTGGTGGCCTGAGGATCAGGTCTCTGCTTTTTGCAGATGATGTGGTCCTGTTGGCTTCATCAGAACGTGATCTTCAGCTTTCACTGGAGCGGTTCGCAGCTGAGTGTGAAGCAGCTGGGATGAGAATCAGCTCCTCTAAATCTGAGACCATGGTCTTGATTCTGAAAAGGGTAGAATGCCTTCTCCGGGTCAGGGATGAGGTCCTGCCCCAAGTGGAGGAGTTTAAGTATATCGGGTCTTGTTCACGAGTG